GGAAAGCAGCCAAGATTGTGGAATAACAGAACAGTTGAATTGGTAAAGACCATAAAGATTATCAAGTCCAAATTTTAACCCACCACTGCAAACCCCACCATGAAACCATGTCCCCAAGAGTGACACCCACAGGTTTTTTGAACATTTTCAGGAATGGTGACTCTACCATTTCCCTGGGCAGCCTGTTGCAATGACCACCCTTTCAGTGAAGAAGCTTTCCCTAATATCCAATCTAAACCTCCCAATGCACAATCTGAGGCCATTTCCTCTTCTCCTATGCATCCCTTACACTGCACCTGAAGGGGTTTTGCTCCCACTCCCAGTGAGATCTAACAGCAATTCCCACCAGATTATTGTGCTAAAGGATGGAGCAGTGGCATGGGGAGGCAATTTAATTAATTATTCTCTTCTCTTGGCTGAAGAAATGAGAAAAACAGGCGGTAAGAGGGATTCCTGTTTCTGTTGGTCCCATGGTGCTCCCTGTTGAGATCAGAACTCCAAGTCTCCAGGCAGTGCTCCAAGACTGAGGCAATGTTTCCTTCTCTGCTCTTCACAGGAGTTGTGGTCAATGGGCAGCTTGTTGGGGCCAAGAAAGCAGAGAACAAGAAACTCAACACATACTTCGGCAAAATTGGGTTTTATTTCAAAAAGAAAGGCCTGAAAGTGGAAATCACCACAGAAACAATAACTCTGAAAGATGGCTCGTATGCCATCACACTGACCTGGGCTGACACAGGGCACATCATTCGGAAACAGTGAGTTGATAATTTTTACCTGGTCCCACCTAATTCTGTTTGAGATACCCTCAGGGTTCCTGCCATGCTGTCTTGTTTTGAAAGACAAGTGTCTGCTAAGAAAGGCAGGAGCCTTTCTTGAAATGGAGAATGTAAACCTTCTCCCTCCAAATTATAATAATTTTGAAATTAAGAGGCTCTCAGGCAAAGATATGAGAAGAGGAATAACAGTTCTTTACTAGGAAAATTAAAATAAAAACACAGTTATGCAAAACAACAAAACAATGACAGAGTCAGAATACAACCTGACACCTCATCAGTCAAGGTGTTGGCAGCAGTCCCATTAAATGGTGGCTGCATCTTCCTGCAGTGACAGATGTGGTTCAGTTGGAGCAGAGCTCCTGTAAGAAGGTGCAGTTTTCTTCTGAAGGTCCAGTGATAATGTAGAAGAGTCTGGTTTTCCTCTGGAATCAGTGGGAAAAGGCTGCTCTGATGTTCCAAATCTCAGATTTTATGTAGGTAGGAAATGTGTGGCTCCCCCTGGGTGGAGCATCTCCCAATGGGATGATGGAATTTTATCAGTCATGCAGTGGGACTTAATGGCCCATTAACAGGTGATGCCTTCCTGGAGGAAGGATGGGTTGTGGAAAAGATAAAGAACACTGCCCTATCTAGTTTTTAAGAGATGGCCCATTAGCAGAGAATAGCTCCCACAGAGATAAGGATCACTGCCCCACCTGGTTTAACAGATGGTGATAGAATACACACCCCTGGTCACATCCTGTATTGCAACTCAAGACACATGCCATGACTCACATCACCCAGGAGAGCTTCCCCTGCAAATTAGCAGCTGTCACCCATGCTGGACACCTTATAGCACTGTCTAAGAAACAGGACCACATCCAAAATCTCCATTCACCGTAGGAAGAGCTTAAATTTGTAGGAGAAATTAGGTTGCCTCAGCATGGGGATGAAGTGTCTGCTTGTTAGGCACTGTTCTGCCAGACCTCTGGGTACCACTCCCAAGGCTCAGGGTTTTTAATGGATCCTCTGACATTTCTGCCATCCCTGTGGGATGGTTCTGGATGCCTGAGTGAATGTCAAGGGGCTGAGAGCAGTTGTGTGGGCAGATGAGCTGATCCTGCTCTTTGGTCCCTCTCTGCCAGGCTCCTCATATCTGTGAAGAAAGAAAGCAACGTTACCATCACTGTGGGGGAGGAGATGTCCTTCATGGTTTTGCTGCACCGTGTGTGGAAGAAACACCCAGTGAATGTTGACTTCTTGGGCATCTACATTCCCCCAGAAAACCAGTTCTCTCCTGCAGCTCACGGGCTGATAGGTAAGGGCTGGGGCGCAGGCAGTGGCAACAGGGGACATGACGAAGGGGTTTTGCCAAATCTTGGATGGAATTTTCTAGAATCATAGACATAAAATATCCTGAGTTGGAAGGACCCACAAGTTCAGCTCTTGCACAGGACACTCCCAAGAATCCCATAATGTGCCCAACAGCATTTTCCAAATGCTCCTTAACTCAGGTTTGGTGCTGTGACCACTTCCTGGGGAGCCTGTTCCAGTGTCCAACCACCCTCTGGGTGAAGCACCTTTTCCTAATATCTAGCCTAAACATCTCCTGGCACATCTTCATGCTGTTCATTTGTTGATGACTGTGTTCTGATGGAAAAGGTGTGGAAATTGTTCAAAAACAGAATAGGGACACTCCTGTAATGTCCTGGAAACCCCAAGAACATTGTGGAATATCAGGGACCAGGAGATTTTTCGTTATTCCAGCTGGGGAGGGTGTTTTCAAAACAGACCTGAGTAGACTTGGTGACAGGACTGAAACAGGACTTTTTTCCCTGCCTGGCTAAACTGCTGCATGCTGAAAATAAAAAGAATGAAACAAACGCCTCAAAACTTTCCGAGGAAATTTCTGTGCAAACATCTGTAATCAGCTCTTCCCTCAATGACAGCTCTGTCTGTGGTATAAAACAAAACAAGGTCTCAGTTCAGAAGGCAAATCAACTTTCTGAGTCCTGGACCCACCCAGAACTCCTTTTGAGGTGCAGAGATTGTTTTCCCAATTACTGAGAGACAGAGCGCCCTGATCCATGCAGGATTCGTTTGCCTACTGGAGTTAGTTTGATTTTCCAAAAGTGCCTGGCAGCAGCTGACATGGAGCTTCAAAGGTCAGGACACACAAACAGCTTTAAACCTCTCCCTGACCAGGTCAGTTTGCATCTGAACCAGAAGTGTCAATCCACCACCAAACACCTGGGCAAGCTCCAGAGAAACCACAAGCCATCATGGAAGTGAAGGGCAACAAGTTCACCGTGACCAGGTAGGAATCATGTGCTTTATTGCTCTCTTTCTAAATCAGTTCTGTCCTTGGAGCTGCCCAGCATCTGACTTTGAAAAGTGCCTGGAACCCCCAGAATAGGCCCATGAGGTCACAGAACTGTAAAATTAATTGCGTTTTGTGGTTACTTCCACTTCCTGCTGGTGGAGGACACAACTCCCTCCTTTGGCAGATCAGCACCATGTTGAGCAGGATGCCCAATGTCTCCTTGTCTATTTGCCATGTTGTGACCCTCCTCTGGGTGTCCTCTCCCTGCAGGGGCGTGCAGAAGGACTACAGGACAGACCGTGTGCAGGGGACTGACGTGCTGTGCTGGTTTGTGCACAACAGTGGCAAAGGCTTCATAGACGGCCACTACAGGGATTACCTGGTCCCCCACCTCTACAGCTTCATGAAGAAACCCTGAATGCTCCAGTTTAGTACAAAAAAAATCCCATCTGCTCCTTCATGCCCAAACAACTGCTCTGAGCAGCAGCTGTCAGCCTGTCACACCAGGGTGACTGGAGGCGACCCCACCACTGTTTGCTTTGTTTTATCAGTGTTTCAAAGACATGTAAACTCCCTTTTCTGCTGAGAAATGAAATCTGTAATAAAGTGACATGCTGGGTTGGAGGAGGTGTCTTCCTCTTGCCATGTCTGATTTAATGGGCTGTAAACTCCATTAAAAATTTCTATTTTCTAATATCCATTTCATAGTAGAGGTGTAACAGTGCTGCGGCTCCTGCAGTGTAGTTAACACACACAATCAGATTTAATACGTATTTAATACTTACATCTTTGTGTTTCCAGACTGCTGGGAAAATTTAAGTTCATACAATGCTGGACTGGGCAAAAAGAATGTGCATTAAGTAAAGAAAATTTAACAGAAAAAGAACATGGGTCTGGAATGGGTATCATGAGCATTCTCCAGTATTTAAAGATGTATTAACCAGTGGTGAGGAGGGTCCTTGAAATAATTATTGCTGGTATATTGGCAAGAAGTTAGTTAGATGAGTCTTAAACAGCCTCCAGCCTTTTTGTGAAAATTCAACATCAGAATGGGACTTCACACAGATACAAATCTTTGAAAGCAGGAAACGTTCACACTGTATAGAAATAATCATCAATACTAAAAGTTTCCCTTCCAGGGGGCTTAGCTCCCAAAAGACCACTCACTTTCCAGGAGCATTCAGCAATGAATGACATCAGTAGTGAAACAAAGACACCTGTGTGTGTACCAAAAGTTGGATTTAAAACTCTGCTTTTTGAACACCTTATTAAAACACATTGGCCTTATCCTTTTCAGCAGTCCTAATCTAGGAAAGGAACTCAAGCACTCTCCTTACCCTTCTCAACTTTAGTTTCCTTCACTTAAGCACAAAAAGTTGCCTTTTACAGGATCTTTTACAGGATCTTTCTTGCAGCTGTGTCAGGATCAATGTGGTTTTGAAATGTCTCTTCAAAGTTCCTCTCTGAAGTGTCAGTGACTTCCTACAAATCATTAATTGCTTCTTTGAACTCACCCACCAGTTCTGGCCTCCACAACATCCTGCAGCAGCCACTTCCCCAGTTCAACCAAGCAGTGAGTTACCATTCTCTGGTCTTCTCTACACAACTTATAACTTGTCTGCTACTTTTACTCTAATTCATCAGGTTGCAGAATGGCAAGCGTAATTATTTTCAGTGATATAGAAGCTGCTCTGTTCTGTCACTTGCCCTCATTACCCTCCTACAAACCTCCTCTCTCTCAATACCTGTTCTCTGGGAGAGGGCAGTGCTGTTTACAAAGCCCAGGTTGCACAGAGAATTTACAAAGTGTTTTCTGCCTCCAGTTCTTATAACTCTCCACTCTTTATGCTTGAAAAGACAGCTGATAGCCTGGAACAACTTCACACGGGACATCTCAGACAGAAGCTGTTTCATTAAACCTCTGCAGACTTCCAGTTTTGTGCAGGTTTCCCCTGGAAACCACAAATCATCAAGATCTTTTGAGGCAAGGAAAGGGAAAAGGTTCCAGAGACACAGCCTTCAGGTGATGGGTTTTATTTTGCCCAGGATCACTCACATATTTTTTTTACCCAAATAATGTGGTGTGCCAACCCAGCACTTCACTGTGCTCTTTAGTGGACTTAAATCAACAGCTGCCTCACACATTGGAAAGGTTGGTAAGAAACACACTGGCCTAAGAAAGGTTTCTGTTTATTCCTGAAGTGCCTTAGAAATTAAACGTTGTACAAAATGTGATGCTTTTAAAAAAATAAAACAAGTAATGCTGTATCATTTAGCACAAGTAACATTACTCATGTAGCAGAGCAACATGGAAGGAAAAGGCTTTGGAAAAGCAAAAGAGCAACCCCCAATTCATATCTGCACAAGCTTCAGCTGGCATCCCAAGACAGTCCACAAGTAACATCCATGGAGCAGCTTCATGTGGAGTCCATATGAAGATAAATTCCATATCAGTATTAGCAGGAGCCCTGACTTGCATTCTGCTATCACTGATGTGCTGATCAAAACTGAACTGGTGACTGAATGTAATAGGCCAGACCATTCTTACAGCATCCAATAAATAATCCTTTGCAGTATTGGTATCTTCCTGCTATTCCCTTAGTCCTTTGCCTTGTTCCTGCACCCAGAAGTCCATTTTAGCTCTGGATTGAGAATTGTGTTGTTTAAACTCCACTGGCTCCAACATACATTGCCTCCCTGTAGGTAATTGTCTCTTCAGGACCTGCCCTGTTTGCAGCTCTCTACTACATTTTACAAAAGGAAATTGAAGCAAATATTATAACTTTGATATAAAATCAGATGAAAAATTTCCACTGATAGTATTTCCATATACACTTCATATAAGAAATTACATAGCTATCTTTAAATAAATCAAGTTTGCTGTTGTTAATGTCTATATACATTATAAATACATGTACACACAATTAAAACCCTGACATGGTAGAGTCTTGTGTCTGCCTGAAAGATGTCAGAAAGAAGGTTTTGAGAACCAAAATCTTCTCTGATGCATGATTTAGCACCTCAGGCAAGTTTGGAAACATCTTCATACTGGATATCTTCGACTCTGCGCCCTTTTAAAGGTCCCTGGAGAATGACAGAAAAAAAAATAACATCACAACATAAAATTGTTTGTTTGTCGAATTCCCAGCAGGGAGTTTATAGTAGGAGAGGTAAAGGGGATTTGTTAATGACACAATGTTCCTTGATTCATGATTTTCAGCCTGACCAGAGAATGTGACAGGGCCTCATCCAGGCCATCCCAGAAATCCTTTCACTTTCAGGATACTTTGAGTACCAAAGTTTCTCCTCTCATCAGGGCATCTGCACAGTCTCTTCCCAAATCCTCCAGAATCCAATCTGGGCTGAGTTTGTGCAGCCCTTCTTTGAATGCCATCTATCAGTGTCTCCCTCTTGCAAGGTGTGTTTAGGAAGTTTGGCTTTGAGCCAATATCCTCTGTGCTTTATCAATCAGTTTAAAGATTGGTTTTGCATAGCAGAATAAAGAAAGAGCCACACAGACATGGTGGCATGGACTGATTGTTAACCATAACTGTCAACCATAAACAAGACAACAAACGAGCACATAAAACGCCACATTCAATGTAGAAAAGGCAGGAGAAAATTCACATCCTTGCATATTTTGCATTTTTTACCTTCCCACAAAACAGTGCCATAACAGACATGTTCAACATAAATACACAAAATATTGTCCAAATCTCTTTCAAGTTCAAAACTTGCTAAATTCAGCGCCCTAGCATCTTTTTGAAGATTCTCTGCAAACAGCAAAGAACAAGCCTGTGATAGGAGGGAATAAGTGACTGTTGAAGGGAGGGAAGTGTCCACAGAACTTTGCACATTGCAAATCCCACCTGTAAGGCAGGATTGAGGATAAAAAGGCTCTTTGTGAAAGCACTCCATGCACAGATGGAAAGCTCTCTGCAAACAAGAGCTTGCAATGTTTCATACTTACTGAGTCAATGGTTATTGTCACTGAAAACCTCTTCTCATTGATGGATTCCAAAATGCCTTCATTCCCCCTGTACCCACCATTTAATACCATCACTTTCTTGCCTGAAATAAAAATAGGAAAAGAGTTACACAACAGGGTTCCAAACTTCTGCTAAAAAGTTTGTCCCCATCTTTCTTATAAATCTCCTTTAAGTATTTGAAGGTGCTCTAAGGTCTTCACAGCACTTTCCCTTTTGTAGGCTCAACAATTCCAGCTCTCAGCTTGTCTTTCCAGGAGAGGTTATGGTACTTACAACTGGATGAATTATAGTTTAAAAGAACCGAAATGTAAGATTTGTAGTGGCAGAAGCTGAAAACAGAAGAAAACAACTGTACCTGGTGCTGGTATTACAGTTTCTAGATGTGTCTGATCAAGCTTCAGCTTGTCCCCAGAGTCAATCACCTTCACGACTGCTGTGTATTTGTCAATCACTTCCTGTTGTGAAAGAAACGAACATTTTTCTCTAAATTTACATTTCAAAGTTAACAAACTCTGGCATTGTGACTATGCAAGTCTACATTTTCAAAACCAGCAAAATTCAAGGGCTCCAGCCTGGAGATTTTGTTCAAATGAGATCCTGCAGCTTAAATATTAGTGCAAAACTGACTAGTCTTGGGTTAAAATCCAACTGCATTGCTCTTGGTCACATCCCATGGACACAGGGATTATTCTCTAAGATGGATGTGTTAATAGGGACAAACCACACAGGACAAAACCGTGCTTAAGAAAGGATCACTGAATAAATGACATTAAACCAATTCAGAGGTTCACTCTCTGTCCAGAGTTAAGTCCCAATACAGGTCAGGTGACATTTCAGTCCCCAGCTGTGTTGTCTTAAATCTCAACAACTTGCACAATGAAACAAATCTTCCTAAATCACCAAATTCCAGAAAAGCCAAACCGATGCCACATGTTCCCCATGGCCCACCTTACCTTAACAACTGCCTTCTTTTTGTGGTACTTCTCTCCAAGCTTTTTTGTTACAATTTTTACAATGATTTCCTGGGAGATTTGAAAGGAGAGAAGAAATAAAATTAAGTGCCAAAATGTGCGAACAACTGTACAATCTAAATTAACGGTACAGCACGATGCAGGAAGCAACAATAGTAAAGATGTGGCTTTCAGGAATTTGTGGATATTGTCAAATTACTGGCTCAAAGTAGCATCTGTTAAGACTTTTCTGCGTTTCTTTGACAAATACAGTTACATTTGAATTCATGATCTAATGTGACAGCCCACAATGGGTCAAGAGCAGGAAAGGGAAAATAAGTGTGGATTTAGTTTGCAATCTGCTTTTGGACCTTTACACTGGTCAACAATGGCTTTAGAAATGCAGAATTGGCTGTATTTGGTATAAAAATAATTTTTAGGTCACTCACAGGTTGTAACCAGTAGTCTCTTCGAGATGTTCTTTTCTTCTCCTCTTCAAGCTAAAGAACAACAACAAATAATCATCATTTACTTCCTCCTTCCACTGCAGCCTTCCCATGCCTTTGAACAGCTTTGAACCAATTCTCCAGCCCCATGCCATGTGAGGAACAAAAACAATCTCAAAACCCTAAATAATGGTCACTCAATATGGTCGTGCCTCAAAAATTGATTTGATGAATCCAGGAACTCTTGATAAAATGATGGTGATTTGTATTTTTTTTTAAGTGTTTCTAGGTATTATCTTCTCTTGCAAAATCTGTATTCTTTTACTTCCAACACCTCAGTCATCTGGGGAATAGGCAAAGTTGAGCAGCTGGTTTTATGAGGAAATGAAACCAGTTTTATGGGGCAATGAAATTATTTTGCTTGGTAAGAGGTGAAAGTTGGAATTTCCTATGAACTGAAGGTCTAAGGTCACTTCAAAGGGACATGCTGGTGAAGTGGACATTGTCACAGGCACAGGGGCACATAGAAACACGTCCTGCATGATAATTACCTCCATGATCTCATCCAGTGCAGATTTCTTCTTTTTCTCCTTGAGCTGACCAGAGCTATGAGCTGCATCTTTTCTTTTAACTGCCCCCTCCACCATCTTCAGTGCATTCTGTCCAAGGACACTGCTGGAAAAGTAAGATGGTGTTTTCACAGCAGATCTTGCATCTTTTTGCTTCACCAAGATGCAATTGAAGAACTGTCTGTGCAAAAAGATCTGCTGACCTGCTTGATTTCAGTCATCCCAGTCCCCTTCCACACCCTGCACACCTCCTTCTCTAGAACTGGTCTCCTTGGGGTGCAAAGTCCATGGCAGTGCAGCAGAATGGACACAGCCCAATGACCAGCTCACCACAGCACAAGCAAAGAGTTGATCAAGGACTTGAGCTCAATGAAGAAAACAAAAGCTGGTCTGCAAATAAGGTTTTCAAATTTGAAAGAACAAACTTCAGAGAAGACACCTGGACAGAGGAACTCTCAGACATGGCAGGTATCTAGAATCCCTTTCAGAGACATTGAGCCTATCTGGCAATAGGAGAAAACATCCTGGAATCTGTAGAAAAGAGCTCCACACCCAGCAAACAAATGTCACCTTCAAACCATATTCAAAATAGGCAAATAGCCTAAGAATTGTGGAAAATAAAGAGCAATCAGCACAAAAAGTTACATCTCAGGGATGAGGGAACATCTTGGTAAAGTGAGCAGGCAGCTTCACCACGGGCAGCTTCAGTTCAGCCATTTTTATAACAGACATTTGAACACAGTAAAAAAATTAGGTATTGTTTCAACCCAAAAGATGAAGGCAGATGCTCTGAGGTGAAAAATGATGCAATAATGAATATGACTTTAGGACAAATTGCATGTTCTGCCTGTGGTGGGAATGTTGGATACACTCCCACAGGGAAGATAACCCAGAGGGAATGAAGATACAGGAATTGCAGTAGAAGCAACTTTAAAAGAAAAATTGTATTTCAGAGGAAGTCTAAATAATCATGGAGTTTGAGAAAAAAATCACACATTAAAATCACAAATCAAATAGCAAGTACTTAAAAAAATCTCATAAAGGGCAACATACAATTAAAATATAATAACTGCAGTGGCCATATTTAAGAAGACAAACATATCTAGCTGTGAAGTTACTACACTACCATTTCAAAGTTCACAGGTAAGTATTTTGTATATGCTGTGAAAAAATTACACTACTTGATATATAATTTCACATTTGGCCAAATTTTAGCAAGGACCTGAAGTATTCCTTACTGAAACTATTCAAGTCAGAGTCTGAATTAAGTTTCAGAATCATCTTAAGCATAACTCGATGCTTAAGGACAATTTACAGGTTTTCCTTAAAGCCTGCAATCTGTATCTATTATTGCAAAGAACTGCTTTACTGTCTCATTTTCTGCCTGGCATATATCCCATCAGATACCTTATCTAAGAGCTGAGTGTGATGAGGGGAAAGCTTTCTTTTTACCTGCAATACATTAAATTACAATATTGCCTCACATAAGAAGATGTACTGCTCATCAAACAGTTCCACAGACTGCTTTAAGTCAGTGTTATTTGCATTATTGATCCCCTTTGTCCTGCATTGCTTGTGGTTACCTGATGACAATTAAATTCCAGAGCTCTAGGAAGATTTATTTCAGGTAGATTTAGCTACTTTAACGATGACCAGAGAAAGTATTGTCTCCAATTAGACAAGGCAATCAAACCTTTTAGGAACCAAAATTAACAAGTCATGAATACCCATTCATAGAAGGCAGCTGGGATTAGATGGTATCACTGCAAATGCTTTGGCTGGATCCCTTTCCCACCCTCCACGGAGGAACCTGTAACTGCCTACTGCTTTATGGGCATCTGCCATGAAGAGAATTCAAGAAGGCTCCTCACAGCTCACATTTAAGATACACTCACTCATCCATTTTAAATACAAAACCAACCACGAAGTCACCTAGTAGCCCTTCTGAATACCAAGAGAAGATGAGATATTAGACTCCAAATATTTCAGGACAAGACAAACCTTCCTGTTCATACAGATACCATTGTCATAGAAGTGCTTTGTAACAGTAAGGGTTGGCCTTAAATTATTTTCTCACCTTGTTTTAGAAGATGCTGCGACTGAAGTACTTGCTCCTTTGTTTAAATTAAATGTAACTAAAAAATAAAGAGACATTACTCTATTTCTATCATTAAAAATAACTTCATGGAAGGATGTCAACAATTTTTAAAATCTGCAAATAGAAAAAATAATAATTTTGAAAATATTTACTAATCTATATTTTGGTTTAGTTTTAAAATAAATTAAACTTTGTAATACAGAATACTCTGCATTTCTATACTCTAGTGCTCTTTATCTCAAAGCACTTTATGAAGCAACAAGCAGGGTTCAATGCTCATTTCATCTGAATCACAAAATCAGCTCCAGTAAGGTCTAGAAAATTACATCCATCAAAATCTGGTTACCTTTTTCTTCTTCGTTTTCTCTGTTCAGTTCAGTATAGACTGGCATTTCCTGCCAAAAAACACAAAGTACATTTAAAGAATCAAAAAGAAAACTGAGTCAAGATATCATTTTTTGGTGATCATGGATTAGCTCAGTTTTACAGACTACTGTGAGATTATTACCAGTAACTGTAATATTCAACCTGGTTTGATTTAAATTAAAAGATAAATAAATAAAGATTAAAATTGAAAACATCTTATTACAGGTTCCTGTGCAAAATTCTCCAATTAACAGAGATGCTGCCTAAACTTGCTCAATTCCAGCAGCAGTTTTCTCTATCTGAACCAGCATGATCTGACTGGTTTCTGGACAGATCGGTAACTCAAAGAAGGAAATTTTGGTATCTTTCCAAGTTTTAAGCACCAAAGGCTCAGACCATTTAAACTTCAATTAATTTTAAATTAAGAAGCAGGCAATTGCTTACAACAGCACTTAAATGTACCCATCAATACCCAGGATCAAATGGGGGATTTCAGCTCCAGGCAATGTGTATGGGGGTCATGGAATGATGCCAAATAAACAGATCTCAAATAAGCACTCCAGCACCACCACAACAGAACTTTTCACTACGTGGATTTGATTATGCCAGATCCCCCTGGTTATTTATCTCAGCCTCTTCAGTGTACAAGGCACTTGTTATCTGCAGCCCTATCAGTTGTGTAATACCATAAATGGAGACATGTCATGCAAGTTAATGGATCGTTTGCTCCCCCTTCCTAAATTCAGGAGTGATTTTTAAATCACTAATCACTTGAAGAGCAGTAATTATTACTTCCTTAGTATTACTGCGAGCTGAGTACAATGTAACTGCAAATTAGGAAGCAAAAGAAATACCAGTACAAGGATTCCAGCAGCATCAAATTCCCCATTGACTTAACACAAGAAGCTTTGAGCTGGAGGTTCACACAAAGTGCAATTTTCCTCACCAGTTCTTTCCCCTCCAAACCTCTTCTAACTTGTTGTTCAATGAATTTAGCAGTTTTTTCTTCATCATCAAGGTCCTGTTTCTTCTTCCTCTCTTGCTCTTGCTGCCTACGAATTGTCTCTGGGTCCCTGTCGATGTACTGAATGTACCAGCCTTTAGGAGTCTCATCAACCTTGCAAAGACCTAAAAAGTCAACGCAAAACAAAGTAAGATTAATATAACATGATCATTTTTAGTCCATGTTCACTGTAGCAATGCAGATATTTTACTAGAGACAAAAAGCCCCTTGCTGGGATGCTAAAACTGACTTGGAATTACCTGTACCATGTGTTTCTGCCCTCAGCTACCCAGATCTGGTTGGACACAGGCCAGTGTACGTCACAAAGTGTTTTACAATACTTTCCTTATTGAAGAAAATGTTTCCTTCCCACTGTTTTAAAAAGGAAGACAGAAATCTAACATGTATAAATATACACCCTGACAGTATGGTACCAAAGGAAATATTGCAGCACTGTGATATTGTTACCAACTCTGGCTAGAGTGACTTTCCAAACACTCTGTAATTGTTGGATGTATCCTGCAGAACAGGGGCACTCCGGGCCAAAGTAAACTTTCTGCCACACCACAGTGCCATTTAATCTCTCTTCCTCCCACTAAACACAGAACTGCAGATCTCCAGCTTTAACCCTTCCATTAGGCCAAGAATGAAAATGACTGCTTGCTTCTTGTCACCACAGATGTGGAAAGATTCTGTAGCCTTAAGGGATGTCCTAGTTCTTAATTTTTAAATAGCAACTGTTGGAAGTTGATTTAGAGTTTAGCAATGCATCCAGTAAATACAGACTGGCAGATGAAACAAGGAAAGGTTCACAACAAAAGTCAGACTTCTGACATTTTTCATAAGGAAACTCCTATTGGTTAGCACAGAAATATGTTTGAAAATCTGCTCATGTATATACAAGAGAGGAAGAAAGAAAAACAACTAACATAATATTTACTGATCAATTACCAGGAATTCAATTACCCAATAATTTTAAGACTTCCCAACCCTGAGCAGGCACACTCACCTTCTCTCCCCAGCCATTTTGTAAAATCAGTCAGTGTCTCCCACTGTGTGGCATTCATGTGGATGTGTTCGCGATGGCTGATGTATTCATTGTACACAATATTATTGTGGACTCTCTTCGTTCCTAAAATACAGAATTATTATTATTATTTTTATTACTACTACTATTATGTGGCTTCACTGAACCAACAAAAGACACTAAAAACAAACAAACACAAACAAACAATCAGCAAAATACTTACCAAATCGCCTCCTGAGCAATTCTAGGAAATCATTTCGGAATTCCCTTAGGGAATAAAGAAAGAAAAAGTATTTTTAGTAAAACTTTAACAACTAGGAAGCAGTTTTCTGTTGTCATTAACAATTAAACACCTGCAGTATAAACCTGATTATTCTTTTGAGCTGAGCATGATGATATTCAGACACAGTTCCCTTTTTCAGTAGAGCAGGATTAAACGCAGAATGAAACACAATATGATGCATGCACACACCTCAAATCTCCAAGAGAGTAACAGCCTCTCAAAGGGATAAAATGGAGCAAAGGAATCTCAACACTTCCCACTAATTGCTGGTGTTTGGTTACCAGGTGTCTTCCCAGGCTGACTGACACAGAGCACAGGGCAGGACAAAGGGCAGAGGGGTGGATGGGGCAGATGGATCACTCATCTCCCTGCTAATTCCAGGGCTGCAGCACAAAGCCTCACTTCAGACTCGTGCTGAGGACAGCTCCAGTCATCCCAGCTGTCATGTAGGTCAGCTGGACAAAGGTCTGGGAGAAGCTGGGGGATGTCAGTCCCTCCCCTGCCTTGTTTTCTCTCCGCTATGGCTCTTTTAGCTCGTGTGTGTGTGGCAGTCACTCAGCCAGAACAGAAAGGTGATGTATTTGTATAACAGAGCAACTTTAAACAGGATTAAAACACAAGACAAAACTGTCAAATTTGACTAAAATCATGGCTTCCTGAAATCTCTTACCTAAAGTTTAAAGGTGGCATTGCCTAAATTTTCAATCACAAAAAGAGCTGACACTAATATGTATCACAATAAAATGCCTTCAATGGGACATTATTGGGCCTTAGTGGTGTGGCTGTGCAGACATGATGCAGGGATGAAGATCTGGGTAAGAATATACAGAAAACTTACTCAGAGAAGTAATCCATGAATTGCTGAGGATTTTCAGAAGCCAGCAGCAACTGCCTCTGGTGGGACTCAGACATGCAGTGACACTTGAAGCCATTCTATAAAGCAAAAATAAATACTTTGCTTGTCTTTGTCTCAATTTGCAGCACTCACGGATGAAGAGAGTATTAAAATCCTACAAATAAAATCCTACAAGTGTGATCGCAGCTCCCACAATGTTCCTCTCAATAGCACTGGCGACATTTACAAGGGAGATTGATAGGACAAGGGCTTTAATCTGATAGAGGGCAGGGTTAGACAAGATATTGGAAAGAAATTCTTCCCTGTGAGGGTGGTGAGGCCCTGGCACAGGTCGCCCAGAGAAGCTGTGGCTGCCCTTGGGTCCCTGGAAGTGTCCAAGGCCAGGCTGGATGGGACTTGGAACAACCTGGGATAGTGGAAGGTGTCCCTGCCCATGGCAGGGCGTTAGAAATGGATGATGTTTAAGGTCCTCCTAACCCAAACCATCTTGTGACTCCATGAGATCGGAGCTGTCACGGGAGCTGACCCCAACCAAGTTGACCCCAGGAGAACCGGGACTGGGGCTCCTCAGACGGAGATCGGGGCCGCCCGAAGGACTCCCCAGCGCACCCGCAGTTACCTCATCGCGGCACTGCTTCTGGCACATCTGGCAGTACCAGCGCAGCTTCTGCAGCCCCTTGGACTTGATGCGGTTGGCGATCGCCTTGGGGCTGAGGAAATCCGACTTCCCCATACTGCCGGTGCTGTCCCGATGCCGCTCCCGACGCGGTGCCGGCCCGGATCCCGCCCCCTCCGGAAATGGCGGCGGCGCCCTGGAAGCGGATCCCGGCGGGGCGGCGCAGGCGCGGTGCGGGCGCGCTGACCTTCAGCGGGGCTGTGGTGGAGGCGCCGCCATGTTCGCCCGGGGCGCCGCGGTCGCGCTGGTCCAGCCGCAATGGTACCGGCACGGGCTGGGACGGGCGCTGTGGGGACGGGGGAACGCGTGCCGATGGCCGCGGTGGCTCTGCGGGGTGAGGGGGGGATGGCTTCCTTCGGCCGTGCGGTGCCTGGCGGCGGCGGGGTCACGGCCCCGGGCGGCCCGTGAGGGGCTGTGGGCTCTGAGGGGTGGTGGCGGAGCGGGCACCGGGACATGAGGGCAGCGAGGAGCCGCAGGGATGGACGGTCCGTCCTCGGTTTGGGGGAGCGCTCGGCCAGTTTAGGTGAATGGGACAGGCAAGGGTTAAAGGACAGGTTTGTACATGGCAGGAGACCCTGCTCTGGCTAGAAAGTGGTGCGGCCTCCTCTGCTTCGTTTTAGTCGTCTTCAGAAACAAATTGCATTGCATGTGTTTCAAACAGGCATGAAGCTTTGTTTGAAATTATTTTTTTTTTTTAATTTCTATTTTGCCCTTCTAATGTCCTCGTCTGCTCCGTGCCATTACCCAAGGCGGTGTATAATGCATTAAACCTTCTCTGTAGTCGGCACTGCTGAGGCGCCGCCTCGAGTGCTGGGGCCTCTGTTCAGGAAGGCCATTGAGGTGCTGGAGCGAGTCCGGAGAAGGGCAGTGGAGCTGGGGAAGGATCTGGAGCCCAAGTCCTCTGAAGAGCTGCTGAGAAAAGCCTGGAGAAAAGGAGGCTCGGGGTGACCTTTTCACTCTACAGCTCCCTGACAGCAGAGTGCAGTCAGGTGGGAGTTGGCCTCTTCTGCCAGGCAGCCAGCGGCAGGACACGGGGACATAAGTTCGGGTTGTGTATTAGGAGGAATTTCTTCGCAGAAGGTGTAATTAGGCATTGGAATGGGCTGCCCAGGGCGGTGGTGGAGTCACCATCCCTGGAAGTGTCTAAAGAAAGGCTGAATGTGGCACTCAGTGCCGTGGTTTAGTTGATAAGGTGGTGTTCGGTCATAGGTTGGACCTGATGATCTCAGAGGTCTTTTCCAACATAATTTGTTCTGTGAAGTTATATAGATGAGGGAAGGATGAAGGTATGCATGCAATCCGTAGGTCAGAGTAGCGTGTCTCTGCCACAGATGTTTTTTAAGAAACAGCAAATCTTTGAATTTTCATCTCTCTGAAAGGGACTTGCCCTCGGCAGGTGTTGGTTTGCTGGAGTGCTAGTGAATTATCCTAATTTCTCCTACATTCCTTTTCAGGGGCCAAGTCAGGAATATGGCAACGCTAAAGGACAGTAAGTAAAGGTTTTTTCTGCTCTTGAGAGAGGAAAAATGTTGCAGGAAAACCATATGTTAAAACAGAATTCTGTTGGGCAAAATTATTGTGATACATAACAATGTATCACATATATAGGCTTGCAGTGCTAATTAGGTTAAACAAGTGTGCTTCAGAAATGAAATTGCTTGAAGTGGTTTTGGCAGTAATTTAAATGCCTTTTTATCGTTTTACTCAAATATATTTAAAAAATAATTCTATCATATGTGCTAAACCAGATTTCTGCTCACCTCTAAGAATTAACTTAGTTTATCTTGTGTTATTTCCTTGTGCTTTTATGCAGCATTTGGGGGAGAAAAAGGATTGACTGTTTTAGTGTGATAATGCTTCCTTAAGCCATTCCTCATAGTTCTGTATAGGGCTATTGCCTTGGAATTGTGCTTGTCTATGGGATACTTGTTTTGGTTTCTTTTTCCATTAATGTTTTTGTAAATGTAATTTTACCACAGTCTAAACAGAGGAGGAAGTTTATTCTGTCTTCACACTATGGGGACTTTTTTGTTTGTTTGTTTCCTCTTCTTGTCATCTGTGAAAGATGACATACCTCAGTTGATAAATTTGTGAAACAGGTAGATGTGGAAGCAAAGAGAATTGTAAATAGACTTCATGTTGGGATAAATATTAAGTGAATTTTATGTCTGAAGGGAATAACATCTCTGTTGTAAAGATGAATTTGTGTTAGCCACGTTCTTACTGCAAATATTGAGGACTTCTATGAGGTTTATTTGTGCGCTGTTCATCTATTTATTTATTTCTTCTTCTTTGAGGAACATGGCAAAATACTTTTGTGTGGCTCTTGCGGGCATTTTGTTGTTTGGATTTGGGTCATTATGCCCAGTACAGCCCATGACCTTCAACTCTTAACCTTGCAGTCACCAGGCGTTTGAAGTCCATCAAGAACATCCAGAAGATCACCAAGTCCATGAAGATGGTTTCTGCAGCCAAATACGCGAGAGCTGAGAGGGAGCTGAAGCCTGCCAGGGTCTATGGAACAGGAGCTCTGTGTGAGAGAAAGTTCTTGCACTTAGTCATGGGGCAGCAGAAGAAGAGGTTTTCATAGTGGTGATAAAATGGCAAGGCTTTTTTGCCTTCCAGTAGTATGTTTCCAAAAGAACTTGCACAGTGAACTTTACTGAGTGACATCTGATCAGAGCTGTGGCTGACTTTGAATTGTTTCTTGCTCACATCTGGTTTGACCCCGTGAAAACTAGGAGATAAAATTAATCTGGCTGAGATCTGGAGCCCCTTTGGTATTGGTTTTAGTTAGAATCATTCAGAGCTTTTTTTATTACTTACTTGTTTTTTTGGCACCCTTGAAAAACATAACGATCTCTTTTTTTTTTTTTACCAGCTCTTTATGAGAAAGCAGAAATAAAGGTACCTGAGGACAAGAAGAAGCACCTCCTTATTGGAGTGTCCTCTGACCGAGGCCTGTGTGGTGCTATCCATACATCTATTGCTAAAACCTTGAAGAATGAGATTACCAACCTCTCAAATGCAGGGAAAGAGGTTATGGTGGTTGGAGTAGGTGACAAGATCAGAGGCCTGCTTCAAAGGTAAAAAGGATGGGGCCAAAAGTTTAGTTTGGAGTTTTGTTTTCTGTGGTAGAAATTTCAAGACTTTTTGTGATATTGTGTGCCTTTGGCAGGAAATTGCATTTTAGGGAACTGTGCTAAGTTCAAATTCCTGTTAAAAAAAAATCTGCAAATACTCCAAAAAGTGGTTCTGATAATATCTCAATTTGGGAAACTTCTGCACAGTGCTATTATATTCTTGAAATAAAAGTGTGAAAGCTGGCAACTGGTGCTTTCTAGTGGCGCTGTTACGTGTGTGTATTGCAAAGCTATTGTAATTTAACTAAAGGCAAAGTTTCTTTCAGACCTTAATTCAATAAAATGTTCTGAACACTTCGAAGTTACAGTCAGTTACTTCTAGTAAGTCAGTCTTGCTACCTCGTGTACCTTAGAGCATCCACTTGCTTCTAACCCAGGTTTGTTGTTGCTGCAGGACACATGGTAACTATTTCCTGGTGACATTCAAAGAAGTGGGACGGAGACCTCCGAGCTTTGGGGATGCTTCAGCCATTGCTTTAGAGCTGTTAAACTCTGGGTTTGAATTTGATCAAGGCTCTGTCATCTACAATCGGTTCAGGTAAGGTTGAACTGAAACTTCAATGGAAAAATACTTGGCAGAATGCTTCAAAGAGCATATTGGAGTTATATGAAGTTATATGAAAACTGCCTGTGATTTGGCATGTTCACTTGATTTTGTTGTGTGTGAAGAACGGGGCTGTTTTTTCTAGTAGCTGTGGTTGGAATTCCTTTTTCACTTGTGTGTGGTGAATGCTGTTATGTTTACAGTCAGCACATCATTATATTCACGTGGTATCCAAGATCTTTTCATCAGGGTTATCACAAAACTTTGTGGCATTGGAAAGTCAGAAGTTGTCCATTCTAATTTGACTTAAACCATTCAATTTAGAGGTAGTTGAACTGAAGAGCCTATTTTGCTCTTTTTGTACAGGTCTGTCATCTCTTACAAGACCGATGAAAAACCAATCTTCTCGTTTGAAACTGTGGCTGGCTCTGGTGAGTAGGGAGCTAGAAACCACCAGTTACATGCAGTGGTAAATCACAAGAAAAGTACTCTGAAACTGGGAGTATGGCATGAAAACATATTATGGTGCTTTCATCATAAGTTTAACAGGTGGTTTTATCTTGGCCAAGATCAGAAGGCTGGCTTAGATGTGGGGCAAGGAGGTTAAAAGGAAAGGTGGTGCTAATTCTTGTTTGAAATTCTGTCTCAAGCAAGAATTGTGCATATATAAACACCATCAGTTCCAAAGCTTTCAGCACTGAGCAGCTTGAGTAGTGAGTGACTTTTCACTGCTCATTAAAAATACCCCAGAATGTTTCTGCAGCATTTTATGGGAAGGTTAAACATAATATGGCAATAATGTATTTTGCCTTGGTCTGACTTTCCTAATATTAAATAGAATTAAAACCCATAAAATAGTTAACAAAATCATAACTAGCATAGAAATTCTGAAGGTACAGATAATATGAGCAGGAAATCCCTCTGTGTTGCCTTAAGTATTGAAACAGCCCAGCCAAGTAATCTTCTCTTGTATTTTGCTGGAAGTAATAAATCTTGGATGTCTCTAAGGCTGCTCTTCCATGTTTTGCAGAAAGCCTAAGTATCTATGATGATATTGATGCTGATGTGCTGAGAAACTACCAGGAATTCACACTAGCAAACATTCTGTACTACTCCCTGAAAGAATCCACCACCAGTGAGCAGAGTGCCAGAATGACTGCCATGGACAATGCCAGCAAGAATGCTTGTAAGTATTCCCTGGCTTTTCCAGGACTTCAGCTGTTCATCAGGAAAGTGCTGACCTCCCTTTGTGTAATTCTTTGCTTCAAAAATCAGCTATTTCCTCTCTTAATTCCATTTTGAGTTGTTTTTTTTGAGCCAGTTCAACTGAGTTGCTGTTTCAAACATGAGCTATATTTAGTCCCTGGAAAGAGGGATTGCTGTCAAGAAACA